CTTACGATGGACAAGCTCCTCCTGCTGCCCCTCCTGGTTTTCAGCACGGCCGCCCCCCCGGCGGCGCCCATGACGTGCCCCAAGCGCTGCCAGTGCCAGAACCTCTCCCCTTCCTTCACCATCCTGTGCACCAAGACCGGGCTCCTGTTCGTGCCGCCCGCCCTGGACCGGCGCACGGCCGAGCTGCGCCTCATGGACAACTTCATCACCGTCCTGCGGCGCAAGGACTTCGCCAACATGACCAACCTGCTGCACCTCACCCTGTCGCGCAACACCATCAGCCAGATCATGCCCTTGGCCTTCGCCGACCTGCGCGGGCTCCACGCCCTCCACCTGGACAGCAACCGGCTGACGGCGCTCAGGGACGACCACCTCAAGGGCCTGGTCAACCTGCGCCACCTCATCCTCAGCAACAACCAGCTGAGCTCGGTGTCGCCGCGCTCGCTCGACGACTTCGTGGACACCATCGAGGACCTGGACCTGTCCTACAACAACCTGGTGGACGTGCCCTGGGAGACGGTGGCGCGGCTCTCCAACGTCAACACGGTGAGCCTGGACCACAACCTCATCGAGTTCGTGCCCGAGGGCATCTTCTCCAACCTGCACAAGCTGGCGCGGCTCGACATGACCTCCAACAAGCTGAAGAAGATCCCGCCCGACCCGCTCTTCTCGCGCATCCCCGTCTACGCCAAGTCCAAGGGGTCGCCGCTGTCGTCGCTGGTGCTGAGTTTCGGGGGGAACCCCTTGCACTGCAACTGCGAGCTGGTGTGGCTGCGGCGCCTGACGCGCGAGGACGACCTGGAGACGTGCGCGTCGCCGCCCGAGCTTTCCGGCAAGTACTTCTGGTCCATCAAGGAGGAGGAGTTCGTGTGCGAGCCGCCCATGATCACCCACCGCACGCCGCGGCTGGCGGCCGCCGAGGGCCGGGGGGCCTCGCTCAAGTGCAAGGCCGTGGGCGACCCCGAGCCCTACGTGCGCTGGATCGCGCCCGACGGCAAGTTGGTGGCCAACACCAGCCGCACGACGTCCTACGAGAACGGCACCTTGGACATCCTGGCGGTGGCGATGCAAGACAAAGGGACCTTCACCTGCATCGCCTCCAACGCCGCCGGAGAGTCCACGGCGCCCGTGGAGCTGCTGGTGACGCCGGCGGCCGAGGCCGGCAACGACACCGGCTGCGAGAAGGAGGAGAGGGAGGAGGAACCGGGAGCCTCCGACATCCTCATCCCGGCCAAGTCGAGCTTCGCCAACGAGAGCAAGGAGAGGCAGGAGAAGGGGGTGGTGGTGGAGGAGCTGACGGCGGCGTCGGCGCTGATCCGGTGGGAGTCGCGGCAGCCGCTGCCCGGAGTCAGGATGTACCAGATCCAGTACAACTCGTCCACCGATGACATCCCGGTCTACAGGTGGGGAGAGGGGGTGGGAGGAGGGTGGGGGTGTTGGGGGGGGTGGAGAAGGGGCCCGGCCCAAGAACCTTCCCAAGATCCTTTTAAGACCTGTCCCAAGGCCAAAGACCCTTCTAAAACCCATCCTAAGACCCATCCCAAGACCCTTCTAAGACCCATCCTAAGACCTTTTCCAAGATCCAAGACCCTTCCAAGATCCAAGACCCTTCTAAGACCCATCTTAAGACCCATCCCAAGACCCTTCTAAGACCCATCTTAAGACTCTTCTAAGACCCAAGACCCATCCTAAGACCCTTCCCAAGACCCTTCCAAGACCCTTCTAAGACCCATCCCAAGACCCTTCTAAGACCCTCCTAAGACCCATCCCAAGACCCATCCCAAGACCCTTCTAAGACCCTTCTAAGACCCTTCCCAAGACCCATTCCAAGCCCCTCCCTCCATCCCCTCACATCCCATCACCCCGCCCTGGTCTCCCCCATCTCCCACAAGTCAGAAGACCCTCCTTGACCTCCTTTTCCCCCCTTTTTTCTCCAGGATGATCCCACCCACCAACAAATCCATCCCAAGACCCTTCTAAGACCCATCCTAAGACCCATCTTAAGGTCCTTCTAAGACCCATCCTAAGATCCATCCCAAGACCCTTCTAAGACCCATCTTACGACACATTTCAAGAGCCTTCCCAAGACCTTTCTAAGACCCATTCCAAGACCCTTCCAAGACCCATCCCAAGACCCTTTTAAGACCCATCATAAGACCCTTCCCAAGACCCATCCTAAGACCCAAGACCCATCCCAAGCCCCTCCCTCCATCCCCTCACATCCCATCGCCCCGCCCCGGTCTCCCAGGAGTCAGAAGAGCCTCCTTGACCTCCTTTTCCCCCATTTTTTCCCCAGGATGATCCCACCCACCAGCAAATCCATCCCAAGACCCTTCTAAGACCCATCCCAAGACCCTTCCCAAGACCCTTTTAAGACCCTTCCCAAGACCCTTCTAAGACCCTTCAAAGACCCATCCTAAGACCCTTCCCAAGACCCTTCTAAGACCCATCTTAAGGTCCTTCTAAGACCCATCCTAAGACCTTTCCCAAGACCCTTCTAAGACCCATCCCAAGACCCTTCTAAGACTCATCCTAAGACCCATCCCAAGACCCTTCTAAGACCCATCCCAAGACCCTTCTAAGACTCATCCTAAGACCCATCCCAAGACCCTTCTAAGACCCATCCCAAGACCCTTCGTAGACCCATCCTCGGATCAATCCCAAGACCCATCTCAAGACCCTTCTAAGACCCATCCCAAGACACATTCCAAGACACATCCCAAGACCCTTCTAAGACTCATCTGAAGACCCAAGACCCTTCTAAGACCCTTCCAAGACCCATCCCAAGCCCCTCCCTCCATTCCCTCGTGTCCCATCACCCCGTAACGAGTCAGAAGAGCCTCCTTGACCCCCCCCCCCCTCCCTTCCCCCCCTTTTTTTCCCAGGATGATCCCCCCCACCAGCAAATCCTTCCTGCTGACCGACCTTGCCCCGGGCCGCTCGTACGATCTCTGCGTCCTTGCCGTCTACTCGGACGGCGCCACGGCCCTGCCGGCCACCCGCTCCCTGGGCTGCGCCCGCTTCGCCACCGGCGAGGAGCCGCCGCGCTGCCGCTCTCTCCACGCCCAGTTCCTGGGCGGCACCATGATCATCGTCATCGGCGGCATCATCGTGGCCTCGGTGCTCGTCTTCATCTTCATCCTCCTCATGAAGTACAAGGTGTACAACAACAATCATCCGTCCCAACACAAGAAGGCGGCCAAGGTGACCCACGTCTGCTCCCAAACCAACGGCGGCTCCGTCGCCCGCTCGGCCTCCAAAGGGGGCGAGAGGAGGGAAAGCTCCTGCCAGGAATTTTCCGTGGGAAGCAGAGGGAAGACGGTGGTGGAGTTGGACTGGGATAAAGCGACTCCTCCTCCGGTTCCTTCCGGGGGCGATTCCGACTCGGCGGCGCCGTCCTAACGACGCCGGGGTTTTAAAAAAAACCCCCATTCTTGAGGTTTTAAAAAAAGCTCCGCTTTATTATTATCTATTTTTTAAACAAGAAACACAAAAAAGAGACCGGACGTGGTTTCAAGAGATATTTTTTTAAGAGTTT